GTGCTGAAAACTCATTCTCTGAAAGGAGTAAAAAAAATTCATTAAAAAAATAAAGTGAAGCAGCCTTTGCAATCAAAATACAATTTTTTCAAAATATTCACCGTTCGAAACAATGAGGTGGCGTAAACGAACAATGAAATTTGACATCACGTCTTGCAATGTCTCGACGGAAATGGAATCACATGCAACACCAATAACGATTCAAGCTCATCTATAGTAGCAGGATTGTTTCGATAGACAATGTCTTTCATTGCGCCCCACAGAAAGAAGTCACAAGGACTCAGATCGGGAGAATATGGAGGCCAAGCTATCCCTGTGTCAGTAAATTGAGGATAATCTAACGCAATTACTATATTCCCAAAGTATTCATGAAGAAAGTGAAAAACTTTATTTGTTTGATGTGGTCGAGCCTCCATCTTGCAGGAACCAGTCGATACCTGGTCGATCCTTCAACGCTAGTTGAGTGCAGACAAATTGTTCCAAAATTGTAGCGTAGCATTTATTGCGAAATTGAGTAGGAGGAAGAGCTGTTACTGTTAGGGCTACTACTTTTAACTTTTCAGGATAGATTTTTGTGTAAGTTCTAAAAGTTGCAAGCGAATCATATTTCTCTATTTCTTCCAAGGCCGTGTAGAAAGCTCATTTGTATTTTTTCATTTTTATGTCTAAAGGCTCTTGTTTTTTATTTTCATTCACTTTGCCTTAGCCTTGTCAATATTATCCAAAAATATTTCTCAAAATCTAATTCATCAATGGAAAAGAATGACAGAGACTCAATTGCAATGTCTGCAGTTTGACTGTCCTGATTCGAATTCTCCAATTTTTCTGAGAATAATTTCATTCTTAATGAAGTTAATAGATGACTTTCTTTGCTTTTTTAATTTGTTCGTCATCCAAGAAAATTGGGCGCTTCGGATCTCCATATATTGAACCCAGCAAAAGATCTCTTTGTCTAGCAAACTAGTTTCTCTTTTCTTCATTGAAGAAATGATTCCTTCTGCAATAAACCCTTCATTTCAGAAAGAACAAACATCACATTCTTCCATTCTCGTCTCCTGTCAATTCTTGAGACTGCAGCATTTTTGTGGCTTTATACAGTGTAGAAAGAAGAGTTTCAAATTCTGCGAGATCATTCCACAGTCTTTCTATTGGTAAAACATTAGGGTTATCTACGTCTCCTAAAAAAGTTCTTATTTCTAAAAACCTCTTTATCATCAAATATGTACTTTTTTATCGCATGGCTTGTTTAATAATTGCTCCTTTTCCTGCTCACTTCCTAAGAATGGCATCAATTTTAGGAGTTCTTGCTGCTTACCTAAATTTACCAGTGGGCTTTGTAACTAAATGAATCAGTTTAATCACTAATGGCAAATATCACATCCATCCTCCTCCCTTATATTTATTTATTAATAGGTCAATAAAATAGAAAATAACTGTTTATTAATGCAGGGGTCTTTGTGCTCCGGAGAAACCCCGGAATTCCGATGATTTTGAACTTCGATCCCCGGATCGTCGTTCAAAAAGGAAGTAGGAATAATAATGAATTATTTATTTTGATCTGGGGTAATTTTGTTTGCTTTGAAAGCAGAAAACGCAAGGTCAGTGTGTGTGGTGAAAACTTTTCCTTTCTTTCTCCAAAGGCAGTGATAATGCGTGAAAAGGGGGGGGAACTTCTTTTTTGTTCTTTCCTTATTGCGAGTTACGACTCATTCCCCCGTTTCTCGGACATTCTCTTCTGGATTCTTTTCAGCAAGTAGGCGCGGCAGAAAAAAAAGGGAGAGACTTCGTTCGACCAGATGTGCGATCACGTGACTCTGGGTTCAAAGGTCTTACCTCTCCTGGCGTGGCGCCAATAAGTAGAGAAGGAGGATTTTTCGCTCTATTAGCTATTTGTCATTGATCGCTTCTCAACTTTTTTTTCTCCGCTGTGTAAAATTTTTGTTTCATTTATTGATGCACGTGTAAATTTTTCGTTTCGTTTTATTTATGTACGCAAGAGAATTTCACTATGAAATTTCTCGATATAAATAGTGATATTATACAATTAGAAGAAGGTGTCCGGAATGCATTTAGGTGGAATTGGATTGAATGGAGAGATGGTAATGGGATACCATCAGCACATGGTGCAAGAAAATAAATGTTGCTGGACAAGCATATTGTGTTTTTTTTGTAACTCACTGCTGAAGTATGATGGGGAAGGATTCAAGGCTTTCACAAATCATTCTAAAACTGTGACACATAAAATATTCAAAGTGCATTAGACATTCAATGACTTTAAGTAATTATGCTAATTCAAAAAATACTGATGACTTACTAGAGACTGATGCTCGGCCATTGGATATAGTGACAAGAAAAGCACACCGAGAGGTATTAATAACTTCGTTTATTGCCGAGAATTCTCTTTCTTTCAATGTAGCTCCCAATTTAATTGAACTCTGCAAACAGTTGAGCCGCGATCAGACGGCACTAAACTCGTTGGAAATGTCCAGGACTACTGCATGTTATAAGATGAAATATGGGCTCGCAAAAACTATTAAGGAAAATATCATTAAAACTTTAAAGGAGACTCCATTTTCTCTAAATTTGGATGAAAGTACTAGCAATGCTCAAGAAAGTATACTGGCAATATTTGTGCAGTTTTATGACAACAATCAAAATGAAGTTGTAGTTCATCATTTTGCATCTCTAAAGATGGAATCTTGCAATTCAGAAGCTGTTTTTAAAGCAGTTGTTAATACTATTGAAGATAATAATATTCCATGGGCAAACTTAATTAGTGTATTAATGGACTCGTAACACCATGCGTGGAAAAAAAAAAAGGTTGTTGAAACCAGACTATGATCAAACAAAGCACCCCACTTATTAGATATTGATGGTGACACATGTTACACAGCTAATAACTGTGCAAAAAAAAAAAAAAAAATTTGCTTCATGTTTTGATAGATACTTAGAAGATTTGTTTGATGATATCTATTTTGATATGAAAAGCTGCAGTAAAAGAGAAAGTTTTTTCAAATCTGTGAATCCCTTGCCATTAAAAAACTTAAGCCCTTGAAGAGACCAGACCATAGGTGGGTGTATTCTTAGTTTTACAGCATTAGATCCAAAGCTAAGAGGTAAAACCAGTACAATATTAGCTTTTGAAAAATTATCATCTTTTATGTTCCATATTTTTAGTGATAATGAAAAGTCAAAAGTAGAAGCTGAAATAAGGCTATACCAGAGTGATATTGATATCACCAAAGAAATGCTCTACACATCTGATGAAAGTGGAAATCAAGTCAAGTGTACAATTGATAAATATTGGTCTAAAGTTTTAATTTAAAAGATGATTTCACAAATGATTATAAGTATCCTACATTGGTTAAATTGGTCAAAGCTTGCCTTAGCTGCTTTCATGGCCCATTAGTGGAAAGTGCATTCAACTTAATGAATACACTTGTCACTGACTATAGAACCTCTCTTAAGATTGATTCCCTAGATGCAGTGCAGACTATTAAATATGATTTAATGGCTTCTAAAGAAACCTCATGTGAAAAATATGGCTCAAAAAATCCAATGACTGATCCAATTCACAAAGATCTCTTACTGAATATGAACAGAAGTTGGAAAACATATCAAGAGGACTTAAAAACATGTATTTCACATGAGTCACCTATAAAAGTCTCTGAAAAACCTTTTACATTAGCAGAAAAGCAAACTGCTTCTACCTCTGCACGTGCAGTTCTCGAGGAAATTTCTTCAACTGTAAATGAGGAAAATAAAAGTCAACCTTTCCTGCAATTATGAAGTTCACCACAAAAGAAAGACAAGCCCACAAACATCAGAAAATTAAAAAAAGCAGCAGAAATTAGATAATTTTTTTTAAAGAATTAATTCAGGTAATTTAAAATATTTACATAAAATGTAGTAGTTTATATGTTTGAAAATTTATGGTTATTAATTTTGCAAAAAAAAAAGTAATTCATTGAACTTTTATAATTAGGTCATTCAATACTTCATAATTGTAATTTTTCATTTCTCTCCCCCCCCCTTCTCGAAACTCCAAAATGTCGGTAGTAAGTCCGTAAAAGTTTCAGGGTATTTTTTGGGGTCCCACAAACAGCCCTGTTAATGTATACAGTCCATAAATAAAAAATAACAACTCAGCTTGTCATTAATTGTTTTTCAATTCATTTAAATTTCCTTTCAAATTTAAACTGTCCAATGAAAACTGGAGTCGGAGTCAACCTGTTTTTAGCGACTCCAGCTCCGACTCCTTTTACCCCAAAATCTGCCCAAGTCCGACTCCAAAGCCCTGGTTTTTTGCATGTCTCGAAACACGACTTGGGTTATATATTAGATTTATATATATCATTGTTCTAACATAGGTATTTTGACACATCAGACTTTTTTCTGAAATAACATACCAATTTTTCCCATATTTCGATTCTACGATTCAAATTATGCCTAGATATTAAATTTTGTAAAATTTGGTGCGAAATTTACGGCGAAATTCAAAAATTTATCTTGGTGAAATTTTTTCAGTTTGCGCCAAGAATAATTCACTTGGCGAACTTCTTAATATGTAGCTTAATAACCAATTTTCCTTTCCCTTCCATTATGCCGGAACAGAAAAAGGCATCTCGTTCCTACCTTTTTACATTGTGCGTGAGCGGAAAAAAAGTGACATCATTTCTACTTCCAAATAATTTTAGCGAAGTGTCTAAACCACATTTGATGTTTTATCACTTTCAACAAATATGCCAAATTTCAAAATGGACCAATATATAAATTCTCATATATTTTCAGAAATTTTGAATAAAGGATGAAGGAATAAATAAATTGAATAAAGGATATAAATTTAAAATTTTCTTTTATCTATTTGTTCAATTATACTATGGAATTTCATAACATTTGTGTCAAGAAACATTTATCTGTATGTACTTACTGAAGACTGTTTTTCATTTTAACTCTAAATTCCAGTTTGAGCTTCATGCTTGTATTCATCTCTTTTTTAGTCATCTGGACATTCTTGTACTGTTGAAGCAACACCCGGTGGGAGTTCATCGCAAAAAGATTCTTCAGAATCTGAAATGGCTGATATGAAAGAAGTGTGGATACATGAAGATTGTGCTGTGTGGTGTCAGAGCATTTCGTTGATGAGTGAAGAAGTTGTAGGATTAGAAGAAGCTGTTAATGAAGCACGTGAAAATGTAAGATTTGTAATTACTAAATTTCAGAATAATTTCATGAATTTTGGCAGTATTAAAATTTAATACATATGATCATATTTCATATTTAAATATTTAAAAAATTTAAGTTTTAGAATTCTAAAACTAATTTGCTGTATCAAAAGGCCTTCTAAGCAATTATTTTATTTTAGTTTCATAATTAAGAAAAGGTGTGCAAAGTATCTGTAGCTCCATAAAAATATGAAACTTTTAAAGCTTGTATGTATTGCATAAAATGTAATTTGAATTCATTATGGAAAAAACATGCCGTCTGCGGCACATGAAAATCAGTCTCACCACTAGAGCTACACTTTTGTTAGTTACATTTGAACTGAGAGGTTATTTGCCCTAGCAAAAATTTGTGATTTGACTGGTATTGTTACGAGACTCTACCTGAATTTGTTCATTCAGTCGGTACTCCATTAAAATAAACATAAAGAGAAACTTATAATTAAGTAATATGGGCAATCCACCAAATTAATTCACTATAAAACAGGCAATTAACCTTAATGCAAAATCATTTTGCATTTTGCTTTATTTATTCTAAAAACATAAAAACGATACAATGTTGCCGAACTGTAAAATTTAACCTTTAAAGAAATTACATTTATACAACCGTCAAGTTGCTCGCAACAGGTATATTTCATATATGGTTAAGTTTTATTTTTTAAAAATATGCATATTAATCGTATTTAGCGAACTAAAAATGTGCCCTTTTTTTAAGTAAATATTTGATGGTTTTATTTCTTTCTGACAAATACAGTCAAAAGTCGTTAATCCGGACTCGTCGGGACTTCGGCAATTCCAGATTATCGATTTTTCCGGATTATAGATCATCAGTTTAAATCTGGTAAGATGGCATGCAGAAATTAAAAATATGAAACCGTAATTTATGAAATAAAGATTAATTATGATCTAAAGGGTCAAAATTTACAAAAAAAAAAAACCTTAATATATATTTGTTTACTTTATTAAACATTTCTTTCAATGTAAGCTGTTTAAGTTGCTTCGTATTATGTGATAATACTTTCTCTTTAATTCTATAAACAGACATAATTTCTTGTTCAGTTACAAAGTTCCGCTGTTCAAGTCGTATAATTGTTGTGTTGATAATACCGGCTAATTTGTCAATCGAAATTTTTTCGTTTTCAATAACCTCTGTGTCATTTTCTTCACTATCGGAAGCGAATTATAATGACGAGGAATATGATTTAAATCATACAAAAAGCGGATGCCTCAATCTGTTGGAGTTGCTTGTTTTCGAATGCTAACTAGACATGATTATTTACAAAGGCATTTATGTTGTATTAGAATCAAGGACTCAGCCTATTGCCCTCCATGTCATCAAAGTGACATGGATGGTGACCATTTCAAGAACTGCCCCATTGTTTTAGAGTTTTTTTAATGACAACTCTTTTGATGCTAGTTTTAATTCTCATTTTCATTCTTCATTTTACTCGGCTGCCTGTCGCTTAATGGCAGAAGTGCTACAGATGAGCGTAGGATTTAAAAAAAAAGTTTTTGAAAACCAATATTCAAAATAATTATAGTGTATTATATAATGCTATACAGTCAAAAGTCGTTAATTCGGACACCCATAATCCGGACCTCAAAGCTAAAATCTTTCTGTGCATGCGCCGCGTTGACACATGCGCGTAGGCGTATACGCGAGCGCACAAGGCCCTTACGACTGCGCATATGCGTGTGCACAAGTTCAGAATACGTTTTCGCGTGCGCGTTTAATGCATAACGGACGGTATAAGCTAAAATTATCTAATTATGTACTTCAGTTAATGTTGATGATTGCGTTGTTCCTTAATCTTCGAATTGGATACGGCTTATTATTTTTTGCAGACTGTAAGAGCAATTTTATAAAAGTAAGCTTGAACTTTCAAATTATGTCAAATAGAATTTCCGATGCTGGAGCTCCCAAAGGATCTACAAAACGAAAGTATGTTTTGATGTCCATCAAACAAAAAGTGGAATTGCTACAAAAAAATGGATAAAGTCATATCCTTTGTTTATCTAACCGTTCCGAAATCTTACCAATTTCACGCTGCGCTGCACAGTGGGGAACGTCGCGGCGCGCAATGAACTGGAAGTTGATTAGTCAGCACTATCGTTATCTTCAGGGCAGATGTTTTTATTTTATTCAGCTTATAATTCCTTACTAAATGTAGTATTTCATCTCGATGTACTCCGTCTTTGATATGATTTAAATCAAATTCCTCGTCATTATAAATATCACGAATACAAATCAAATAGTTTTCTGATTGCAATTTTCTAATTTCGGCTATGCGTAATGTATGCTTTACGCATGCGCGCGTTGAAAGAAATGTTTAATAAAGTAAACAAATAAATGTTAAGCTTCTTTTTTTGTAAATTTTGATACCCTTTAGATCATAATTGCTCATTATTTTATAAATTATGCTTTCATACTTTTAGTTTTATAATTTCTGCATGCCATTTTACCAGATTTAAACTAATGATCTATAATCCGGAATCGCCGAAGTCCCGACGAGTCCGGATTAAAGACTTTTGACTGTATTTTCTTTTAAGGTATGCATCCTTACTGTATTTATTTGAAATAAATAATGTAATTATTCATCAATCTTTATTTCATTCAATATTTCATTCAACTAGTCTTTGTTTCATTATATTTTTCTGACATTATTAATTGCAGACTGTTAACTTCCAAGTATCAAAAGTAATACAATAATGAGATATATTGCACGAATATCATAGCGAGTGAGGGAGAGCATCGCAGTTCTGAAAAGGAGAGGTTAGGGGTTCAAAGTCCTATTAAAGGATATGCAAGAGAGAAAATGTTAGAAACCACTGTTCTAGACTGTGAGCATGACATTTTGGGGCAGTAAAAATATTATAATACAGGTGTTTATAAAGTCTCTATACGTTTTAAAAAATATATTGTAATTTCAATTTCTTTCGAGGCGATCTGAAAGAATACTGTCAAGAGAGGAAAGAATACCATTGTTTGTGCTGTACACGTGAATTCAGAAAACAAGCCCCTAACAGAACAGCTGTTAAAACCTTGGTAAACAAATTCAAGCAAACGGGTAGTGTTCAAGGAGAAGACTATTCTAGGAGACCTTCAATAATGCCACAAGTTGAGCAAATCATACAAGAAGTGATTATCCTTAGTCCCCAGGCATCTACACGAAGTCTCAGCCAGGAATTCTGTATTTCGCACACTTCTGTTTCGAAAACTCTATGCTGACATTTAGCCCGTTAATGCCCAAATTGTTTTAAATTGAGAATTTTAGAAAAATATTTTTAAATTGCATTTCATGTATCATAAATAAAGTAATTATGAAGTTTTATTAAATTACCGTAATTAGCAGTTCAGATAATAGGTGATCTATAAATAGATCGCTGGACGCTTTTGGTAGTAAAAGAACAAGTAACCGCCCTCTAATCTTATGTTTAAAATATTATGAATTTAGTTTAAAAAATATGAATTTTTTGTAAAATTAAAGCCAGCTAAAAAGATTTAAAAGAAATAAATCTTATTTTATTGATTTAAACTTCATTAGTTATATTTTTATTGAGCTAATTTGCAATGTTTAAGTATGATGTAACGGTAAATATTTCTCACAAAGTGTTACTTAGCATTTTGTACAAAACGTAGTAGAACTTTCCTTACATTTTTGAAATTGCCGTCTACTTTTCTTTTACCTATAATATGGCCTTTTCTATCTAAACATATAGAGCCTATCACTTTGGTCTTGAAGACATCACCAAATCTCTTCCAATGCTTTTCTTCGAATTTGTTCCCAGTTTGACATATGCAACCGCGATATGTCTTCGGATGTCTTTTGTACTTTTTTTCACCATTCGTGTTCCAAGTGGTTCATTTGAAATTTCAGGAGTATTGTCAAAATTCTCCGCACCACAGTTATAAGTCTAAATTATAACAGTAGCCCTTTAATCCAGGCATGCCCCATGATTTATAGCAAAACCGTATAGATTTGCCTTTGAGAAATTGTTTGAAAAAATGATGAACCTAATATCTAATCATCATTTCATCAACAGGCAGAAATATAATTTCTAAATATTTATTTAGAGACATTGTATTTTTTAGATACATTGGCAAATTATTAACAATCTTACTGCTGTTGTAAGAGTAACAATATTTATTAGGAATTACCTTTATTTTTTATTGATGTTAAAATACTTTTTAAAGATTGTTATTTTTCTGTTTCTTCTTTAATTAATGCAAACAAATGGTTTTTCAGTAAATTATACTTTTTAAAAGTTTTATTTTAAAAAGTTGTGCTACATTTCTTTTTACTTTTCCATGCAGACTTCAGAAATAAATATTTGTAATAAATATATTTAATTGAAAATGCTGTAGTTATTGCATATTAGCTGAAACTAAGCAAATGAAAAACAAAAATGTGTTGATTTGGAGTGTTCTAAATTATGATTTTGATATGCATGTCTTCTTGTCTTAGATTTGTTGTCACTGTTCACTTGATGGCGCTACAGTAGGTTGTTGGGGGAAGAGTTGCAAAGAGCAGTATCATTTCAGTTGTGCCAAAGAAACTGGTAAGTACTTTATAGACTTTTTAATTTCTTCTTGTATTGTAATAATTTTTTGCTATGTGGCCAATTTAAATTTATAGATTTTATAGCATTTAAATGTTACCTTTCAGACATCATTTTAAGTCATATTGCAATATGTTACATGCATGTTAAAAATTTCATACTCGTTCCTTTATGGCTATCAGTATCAAATATTATACAGTCAAAAGTCGTTAATCCGGACTCGTCGGGACTTCGGCGATTCCGGATTATCGATTTTTCCGGATTATAGACCATCAGTTTAAATCTGGTAAGATGGCATGCAGAAATTCTAAAATTAAAAATATGAAACCGTAATTTATGAAATAAAGAACAATTATGATCTAAAGGGTATCAAAATTTGCAAAAAGAAAAAGCTTAATATTTATTTGTTTACTTTATTAAACATTTCTTTCAATGTAAGTTGTTTAAGTTTTGCTTCGTTTCATGTGATAATACTTTCTCTTTAATTCTATTAAACAGACATAATTTCTTGTTCAGTTACAAAGTTCCGCTGTTCAAGTCCTATAATTGCTGTGTCGAGAACACCGACTAATTTGTCAATCGAAATTTTTTCGTTTTCAATAACCTCTGTCACTTTTCTTCGCTATCGGAAGCGAATTATAATGACGAGGAACTTGTTTTAAATCATATCAAAGACGGAGCATATCGAGATGAAATACTACATTTGGTAAAGAAATTATAAGCCAAATAAAATAAAAACATCTGCGCTGAAGATAAGGATAGTGTTGACAGATCAACTTCCAATTCATTACGTCGCGGCGTTCTCCCCCGCCGAGCAGCGTGAAATTGATAAACAGATTTCGGATTTCAAAACATACTTTCGCTTTAGATCCTTTACATATTAACAAATATATATCGGAAAGTCTATTTGATATAATCGAAAGTTTAAGCTTACTTTTATAAAATTGCTCTTAAAGTCTGCAAAAAATAATAAGCCGGATCCAATTCGAAAATTGTTCAACAACGCAATCATCAACATTAACTGAAATAGATAATTAGATAATTTTAGCTTATACGTCCATTATACATAAAACGCACGCGCGAAAACGTATTCTGCACTTGCGCACACTCATATGCGCAGTCGTAAAAGGTCTTACGCGCACGCGCAAACGCCTATGCGCATGTGTCAACGCGGCGCATGCGCAGGTTTTTAGTTTTGAGGTCCGGATTATAGATCATTCCGAATTATGGGTGTCCGAATTAACGACTTTTGACTGTATAGTAATTCCTCGTTATTCACAAGAGTTCAAGTCTTTCACATTAAATGAGATTATGAAGACATACAATGTGATGGATTATGTGCAATGCCGATCATTCGTGTAGAATTTGCATGATTTCAGTTGAAATAATGTCAATACAAAGAAATAAATTATTTTTGTATACTAACTGAGTAATTAAAAATTAATTTTAAAAATATTAATCAGTGTTTTTTATATTTAACAAAGGGTAGAGAAGTGGTGCTGTAGAGCTTTTAATTGCTCTTCCTTTTCCGAAAAGCCTTTGTGTTATTCTTCATGGGGCTCCAGCTTCACATATGCCTCTTCTAAATCTTAGTCTTCTTTTTATGAAAGGGAAATTTCAACTCGCGAGCATGGTCAGTCTTGCTTAGCAGCTTCCAGTTCCATTTATCATTTTATGTTTCAGATTTGTTCAAAATTATGATATGGTCCTCTAATTTCCTTAATATCTGCTCCTGATGATTGTAGCATAAGTTCATTTCTTCTGTATTTGTTTTGTTTACTGCATCTTTTGTGTGTGCATGCTATGACTGCTGTATGACTGTGGACCTGCCATATGCTTATTCCACACTACCTGGAAAACGAGAAAAGTCGGGAAAATCGAAAATTAACCAGAAAAGTCAGGGAATTCGAAAATTGACCAAAAAAGTCAGGGAATTTCTTGCTGCAATTCCCAAAAAAGCCATTTTCGAGATGACCATCATTCGAACAGCTGGCACACAGCCAATTTTCGCCACACCAATCAGATTATCTCTTGGAAAGGCAAAGCAAGTTTCCAGTATCTTTAGTTTCTAGTAATCTTGAGAATCCAGAAATTTTCATCCGCATGTGCAGTCCATTTATATATATGTAATGATTCTAAAATGCGTATATGAAATCAGTGGAACTTTTAACAGCTTAGATACTGCGTAAATGACAAGAAGACCGTAGTGGCAGAGTGGAAAGCATGATGATGCAATTAAGTACAACATAACTTGAAAAATCATAATCTTTGTATATCAAATCATGCTTTTTCAGACAAGATATTTCCTAATTATATTTGAATACAGTAAGTTGCATCTTGCAGTAGGACGTCGTTTTAAGCAAGTAAGCGGCAGCAGCATACATAAAAAGCATCTTGTCGGCGGGAGAGCTTATGCGGAAAAGGGGGAAGTGTTATAATACTTTCAGAGGAAGAAGGTTAGGAGTGGGAAAGTTTCAGTTCAGAGTTTTAGTTTACAATTAATTTGATTGGACAAAAGCCATGTGCATTAAAATGCTACGTAAGATAGAAAAATCTGGAGCCTGTGAAAAGAGATTAATTTATGGACAGATCACCAAATTTAGAATATTAATTTTGAAGTCACCAATTAATTTTTGAAACAGTTATCATATTTTGTTTTCTTACATATCCCCCCCTTTTAAAAGAAAGGTTGGGTGGCAGGGTGAAAGAACAAGCATTAGAGCAGCAAAATGTGAAAAATACGATTTTGAAAATACAAAACATATTAACAAACCTATTTAACTTTTAAACAAAAAATTATTGTTATAAAAGTTCAACCGATACTTTGACATTTCACTGAAAGTCATAAAATTTTGAATTGAATTATTAATTTTAGCGCTGTATTCTTTTAAAACAATAGCCTATTTTAGAGTTCCGAGGTAAGAATGTCCAATGAAATTTTGTAAAGCTCTTGATAGTTCCACATGGTGAAAGTTCAAATTTTTTCACAAAGTAAATGTTCAGATAAAAGTCTTTCCAATTTTTGTTAACAAAAATCAATTTTCATGTTATTTATTAGAATTTCCATAATTATGTTTTTAAAGGAAGGCATTTTAAAATATAAAAATTTGTAACACATCTTTCATAAACACAACAGATTTCAAGCTTTTCATTATTATTAAGACATTTAAAATTTATTTATTCTTCACAAAGCTTGAAGACACCACAGCTTTCTCTAAATACCAGCATATCCATCATATTGGTTTATCAGTTGAGCAAATTGGTGTTATTCTTCACCAGTGGCCAAAAAATTTGCCAAATTAGCAGTTACTGTAGAAAAGGCCTCCGTTCCTTTGATAGAGGTAAATGGCCTTTTTCGAACTGCTGTCATTCCATTATAAAAATTAAACACACTCTATTTTTATAAAAAAAAATAAAAATACTTAGATTTAAAAAAAAATAATTTTTTCATAAGGTGTGAGCCTTCAACGTTTATTCTGAAATCATTAAAGAAATACCTACAATTTAAAATTTTCAAGAATTTTATTCTTAAAATATTGTAAAAACTAAAAAATATAAAATCAAAGAATTTTAAACAATAGTACAAAAATATTCTTATTAGAAACTTTCCCTAAGTAAAACCTTCAAATTCTTTATCTTTATCAAATTCAATATATATTTTTTCCAATTCAGAAATAACTGCATTTTAAATAAACCATAATATTTTTGAATTATTTACTTTGATCTTAAAATGATTAAAGCAAAATATTAAAATCATAACACAATGCAATTACTTATAATGCAAAGTCATTTTAAAAACACTATTTACTCCATTTGGAACTTCATACCACTTCAGTATCACATTAATACTTTTGATAATATTCCATTCTTTGAATAAGAGCACTAAAAAACGTAAAATGTGCACAAAACACTATTTTACTCATGAGGTTGCTGACCTTCAAAACACTTTGGATGTTTTTCATTTTATGCGATGATTGGAAATGCATTACGAATATTCGAAGCAAGCTAGAACCAGTTACCATATTTCACTATGTTGGCGGCACTGACCTTGATTCGAAATGCTTTCAATTTTGAACTTACAGATACTCTATGATTTCAAAGCACTTTTAGAATATGCTGTTAAATCACACACCAGAAACAAATTTTATTCACTGGAATTTTGAGGCTGCAGAATTCAAACACCATTGGGGAAACTTGCAGCAGGTTAATCCTGTCTTGACTTTTTATAAATATGTAATGATTCTAAAATTCGTAGATGAAATCACTGGAACTTTTAACAGTTTAGATCCTGCGTAGATTACCGAGAAGACTGTAGTAGCTTGAAGGTGGCAGAGTGGAGAGCATGATGATGCAATTTAGCGTAACATATCTTGAAAAATCACAATCTTTTTTTTTTTTTTTTTTTTTTTTTTTTTTTTTTACGTATATTAAATCATCCTTTTTCAGACAAGATGTTTCCTAATTATATTTGAATACAATAAGTTGCATTTTGAACATCAATTTAAATCTCGTAAGATGGCATGCAGAAATTATACAATTAAAAATATGAAACCATAATTTATGAAATAAAGAGCAATTATGATATTTAAGAGTATCAAAATTTACAAAAAAAAAAAAAAAAAAAAAGGCTTAATATTTATTTGTTTATTTTATTAAGCATTTCTTTCAATGTAAGTTAAGTTGCTTCATTTTTTGTGCTAATACTTTCTACAAAAAATTCAAAAAATTTGTTTTTCTTTTTGCTTATGTCATATACAGTTGACTTTCCAATATCATACTCCTCGCATAATTTTGAGACAGATATGCCTTTATCCATTTTTTGCAGCAATTCCACTTATTGTTTGATGGACATCGAAACGTGCTTTCGTTTTGTAGATCCTTTGGCAGCTCCAGAATTGGAAACTCTTTTTGACATAATCGAAAGTTCAAGCTTAATTTTTATAAAATTGCTCTAACAGTCTGCAAAACATAATAAGCCGGATCCAATTAGAAGATTAAGG